TACTTAACTCAAGGACTCAAAGATACTTCTCAAAAGGGATTAGGAAATCAACACTTAAAGGCTTAGAACTTGAAGATACCACTTTTCTGAAAGATGCTCGACTTACAAAGTTCATGCAGAATTATGGGCATGAAACAACTCGACGCGATGGTGTACATAACAATATGGAACTCAAGTATACAACTCTTCTTATTCACTGACATACTTCCTCAAAACTTAGTTCAAATCGATAGTTGATCTCAAAGGATTCACAATTGAACTCAAAGGCTTTCTTGAACTCTACTCTTAACTCTCTCTTGAATGTGAATTATAAATTCAAGAGTTATGGTTCATTATAGGAAAGATCTCGTGATAACAAAGTAGACTCATGAACACATTTTCCTCATCCTCTTACTCACTTACTCGGGCCTTGAAACAAATTACTAGAAGTTGTAGAAGACTCCTCAAAAGGGCTTAAAGGGACTTTCTTAGAATGTTCGAATGAATGCTCACAAACTTAACTCTTAACTCTACCTTGAATTTGAATTATGGATTCAAGGGTTATGCTTCAGAATGTAAGACCTCTCAATGTTTTAGGAGGGTTAAGATAGTTGATCACAAGAACGAGCGAAGACCCAAACTTAAGAACATTGGCGCGACGCAGAGATGGAATTAAATCTTTGATTGCAAAATAAATTTTGGGACAGTGAACTCTATATCCTCTCCGCGACGCGGAGAGGAGGTACTTTTCGGGGGACTGAATGTTTAAAACACCTCTGCGACGCGGAGCTGGGCACATACGTTTGCCCGATCTTTTCTTCCTCTCTCAAACTCAAATCAACTCATACCTACTGCAATTCTAAGGTCAAAATTCACGAATTCTTTTAACCCAAAACAATTTCAGCGAAACCCACACAAGGAACTATCAATTAACTCATCTTATTCGCAACCCTCGCCTCTAGTACTCAATGAGAACTTCATTATCAAAGAACAAAACACAAACCTCAAGAACTCAATAAGATTATCAATATTGGCTAAAACTCAAGAACTTCTCAAGAACTTAATAATTCAATCTCAAAAATGAATGCAAGGATAGAATTAAACATGATTGGCGTGAGGACGAACAAACTCAACACTATGAAAGCTTACATACCTGAAAAAATCATCTTCTTGCAGCACTTGAAGGAAAATCTTGAAAGCTGAACCTTAGCCTTAGCATTTCTTGAATTCCTTGAGCGTATACTTTTGGAGTGGATGAGAGGGTTTGATTTATGAAAAATTGGTTTTATACAGGTTTAGGGCAATTTAGATGACCTCCTAAGGGTTTTTAGGACTAAAAATACCCTTAAAGAAATAATTAAAATGATCTGGGAGTCGGAATAATTTTTCTACGAGGCAGTGAGGTCCGTATTGGCTCCGTAACGCGGAGCCATCGCGGAGTTGCTGCCAGGTTTGTGCGTCGTTAGTAAATCAGTCATAACTTTTTACTCAGAGCTTGGAATTTAGCAAACTCGGTGGCGTTGGAAAGAGGACTCGAAGGGCTTTAATTTAATATCTTGTATATCACGTAACTCATCTTGTACTAGGAGTTATGGTCATTTGAAATTGACCCAAAACTTAAGAAAACTTAAGAATGACTTGAATGCTTTTCTCTTTAGTTCTTCTTGGAACTCAAGGTGCTACATCTAGTGACCTTAATACTCAAGAAATTTTAAATTTCTTGCAAAAATCTCACTCACTACGAAGAACGGTTCAAGTCTTAGCTCAAAAATTTTCTGGGGTGTTACATCTACCTGTGTGAATTATTTATTTATTTGTTTTTAATCTTTAATATTTTTGATGCTATGTTTAGCGGTATTTTTCATGATTAAGTTTTCAGGTTGAGAGTGAAATTCTTTTTTTTTCTTAAATTACTTGTATTAAGTTTTCATAATCTGTTCTAATTATTTTATTTTCAGTTTTTGTTTTGATTTTTGAAGTGACAGATTTTTGCATTGATAGAGCTCGACATTTTCTATTCAATGTTGAAGCATTGCATCTGAACTACTTGAAAATGGTAAAATTTTCAATTTAAATTGTTTCAACATTTATTCTGTTTCACCGGCAATTATTTAAAATGTTATAAGGCTATGGTAAAATTGACAATAAATTTTTCTTGGTTTGATTTGTGTTCCTTTTTTCAATCACGAATGTATGCTTTGATCTGTATGCTTCTTTCTTTCCTTTTTTCAATCTCTAACGTATGCTTTGATCTGTGTTCTTTTTTCATTTTCCTTGTAGTATAAGATTTAATATTTTTTATGTTGACGAATTGTTTTAGTAAAAGCCATATACAATTAATTGAGTCAAATATTCGAACCAAAAGGTACTTATTTTACTGGTATTCCATTCTGCATACCGATTCTTGACATGGATATACTTTGACTCCTCCTTGACTTGTAGAGGTTACCTTATCAAAAGCGAATCTAGAATTTCTAGAACGTGCACTACTTTTTTAAAAAAATAGGTATCAAATGTTAAATTTAGTATGCTAAAAATGAATTCCTTCAATTATTAAATAAGATGGCTTCATCCTTTATATCTAGAGATCGGGCCAAATCTTCCAAGCTAGGGTTTTCATTTATAATTGCATAAAAAAACCTTTTCCAAAGTAGCATGAAATATTTGTGCCTTTTTATGCCTTCTCCAAAAAAGATTTTAAGTGAAATTCTAATAGCTTTAATAATTTATTTTCCATTCTCTAACAACTTTTATTTTATCTTTCCAGTCTTTCCGGAATAACTTTTATATGGTCATAATACTTTGATAGCTCATTGCAACCTAAAGCCATCCAACGTTCTTTTGGATGAAGACGTGGTGGCTCACATTGGTGATTTTGATATCTCTAAAATTTTAGCGATAAGCAAGTCCGTGGCTTATACCGAGACATTGGGCACTCTTGGATACATTGCACCATGTATTAAAAAAAAATTACTCACTTTGATTTTCTCTTATCATAATTAAGTCTCTCCAAATTCAAGAAGTACAAAAGACAAGTCTTTATTTATGTAGAATTGTTGTTGTTTTTCAATTGAGTAACATTCCTTCAATTCTTTTCTAAGAATATGGCTCTGAGGGAATATTGTCCACTAGTGGTAATGTTTATAGCTACGGAATCATGTTAATGGAGGATTTGACCAAAAGAAGGCCAACAGGTGAAGAGATATGCAATGAAAATCTTGACTTGAGGAAATGGATGACAAAATCATTTTCAGGGACAATTTTTTTTCTGAGGAAAAGAAAATCACTTCTACAAAATAGCCATGAAAGATGTAGTCAAGAGGCTTAGCAACATCAAAAACGCATTTTTGTAAGTGTAGAAGTTAGCATCTCCTTTGCTGGTGTTCTTTCCGATCTGCAAGTTAATCGTGGTGTGAATATTTGAATAAACCAGAATTAATTTAAGAACTATTATGAAGGTGTTGAACCTCTTTAGCTTTGGTAATTGGGTTTTTGGTTCAACAACTTCATCCTTTTACTTGTTTAGAAGGAAAATGCACATATAAGTGACTATCATGTCTCTATGAGAGGTTCAAATTTGGTCATGCCATTTCATCAATTAGGAGTAGTTATAAAATAATACTTGATTCTTTATATTTACTTTAGTTGCATAAGTGAAAATAAGATTCAAATATCAAATGTTATCATACGTGTATAACAGTCAATCACATAAAAGATAAAAGATCTTGTAACAAACACGACTGTTATAAATGGATGAGGCTCCTCTCACTACAACAAAAGTAGGATTTAGCGGCAATTATTTAGTGGCAATGATAAAATTGCCACTAAATAGTATTTTAAAGCCAACATTTACCGGCAATTAACCTTAAGCCACTAAAAAGTAACCCTTAATATCACTTTCCTTTTCTCTTTTTTCCTCAAATTTTATTTCATTCTCAAATTCCCAAACTATTTGATCTCTCTTTCTCCATTCCATCTGAAGCATAGGGTTGATTTGAAGCTTCCTTCCATGGCTACGATGGATTTGATCTGAAGCACAAACCAATTTTTGTTTCTTTTTGCTCGATCTGAAGCACACAGCAAAAGGTAATCTCTATTTCATTCCACTCGATCTCTCAATTTCTCAATCTCTCATTCTCGTTGGTAAGCACACAACAAGATAAACTTGGGTTTGATTTAATTAACTTCGTATAGATTTGAAGAAAACATAGCTGGAAAAACTTGTGTATATTTAGCAGATTCCGTTTTCTTCTATATTTAGCTTGAGAAAACGATGTGAAATTCTCTGTCTCAGGATCAGTAGTCGTGGTGAGGTAAATATAAAATGTTATTTGAAACTTGTTCTTGAACAGTTCACTCTAGAACCCTAATTGAGTTCTATAATTTCCAGAGAAGAGAGAAGATTGTTATTGATTGAGCAAAATGTATATCTGATGTTACAATTGGGAGTTCTGTTACTTATACAGAGCTGACCGATGTAGTGACGCGTCTTGCTGGAGATTGTTTTCACATTAATTGATTTGCATTGGGAGTTCTGTTACTTTACAATTGTTATTGATTGAGAAAATGTATATCATTTGATTTGCATCCCCATTGTCATTTCCTCCGTGTATAGCTAGTTTTTCAGTCTTTTAATGATTAGTTTGCTCTAGGTAGTTCTATTTTTCAGATCACTACCACAACTAAACAACTGAATCATTACAAATATCAAGATCCTTTATGTTCACATTCTTTACAATTCTTTTAACAACTTTTTTTCTTCCGGGTGTTTGAGGCATATCATCCACTGGCATAATGAAAGTAACATCTGGAGACGAGAGTGGTGACAAAGTGGTCTGCAAATAGAAAGTTAGATAGTAGAAATTGAAAATTAATTGACAAAAATAAAGAGATCCATCTTTAAAGAGATCCAACAATACAACAATAAATCCAAGCACACCAACACTATATATTCGTATGCTCCATTCTTTATTTTGGATCATAGAATCAAAACCAAGACTTCATTATTAAGACAAAAAGCCAAACCAACCTAAGTTTCTTTACATTTAGCATAACCTGTTTCCACCAAGGCATGCAGTTTGGAGTGACTGGTTAAAATTTTGAACAGATACAAACATCATGACAACCAAAAGAACTGAGAAATGCAAAATTAAACCCAACTGATAGAAATATTATCTCTAACTGCTCCAAGCATTGATACACAATAACTCATCACTCAACAACTTTTATCTATTTCACCACCATGAAAATGACCTATATCTATTGATGAAAGTTCACTCTTACTTATCAAGGGAGTTTGAAAAAAAATTCAATAGAGTACCTTAACATATCGAATTGGAGACCTTAGTTTTACAGTATTAAACTCACACCGACCAAGTAATGCCCTTTAAGACATTCGAGCTTGGTTCCTGGGATAGGAAGGTGGAGTATCTGGTGGCGCAAATCCCTGTCAAAACAAATAGGAATAGGCAGCTAGTTGATGCAAGTCTATTTGTCTATGTAGGGGCTTAGAAAAACCAAATAAACCGATGAAGCCTTTCAACATGCCATGTAATCCAAGTGCTATAATAATACTTTGATGAACAGCAAGCAATATAGCTCTTAAAGTCCAAACATATATCTGTAGGCTTCTATACAGTACAAAATAGTTCGGAGCAAATATGTTAACGAAAACAAATAAGATCACTCCTTTACAGAAAATGGCTTCTAATGATTAATCTTAAAACACCATTTCTGATTTTGTCGTCATTTTTCCACCAAATAAAGGTTGGTTCAATATGGCCCCATTGATACGCAATGGCTCTAATTTTTTATTGAGTAGTTTAAGTGCGGAATTAAAAGCAATGTTACCACCACAACTAACACCATAGAGGTAACACCTTGAGAAATCTCCATATTCCCTTAGCTATTTTTCGCCATTAACGCGATCCAACGCTTGGTTCTTGATCCAAAGAACTGCGTCTATCGTGTCGTGGTATTGAGAGGGGAGCCTATTTTCGGGTGCTAGACCATAATCCAATGCGACAACAATGGAGGGGACTTCGCTACATATATGGTTACAACTTTCATGTATTATTGTACTTGCTATGCTGAAGTGAATCCTCCCTCCAGCAACACCGAAACATAATCAGAGAAGCTACTGATTCTTACTGTTGAAATTCTTGAGAAGGGTACCCTGCATATTGCAGGGTACCCTGGCACTGAAAGAGAGTTTGTTAAGCTTAAACACTATATCTATAACTACTCGTCTCAAGCTTACGCTATTTATTTTCGTGATTGTTTTTACAAAGAATATTTAGAATTTGAATATATTTTGTTTGAATATGATTTAAACCCTCAATTTCTAAAAATTAGAAAAATTACTCAACTTCACTAGCTTAACCATGTGTACATATATTCATTCGACTTGACACATTTTTTGTTGTACCCCGGCACATTTTGCAGATTGCAGAGTACCCTGGCACTGAAAGAGATTGCAGAGTACCCTGACACTGAAAGAGAGTACCCTGGCACTTGTCTTAAGCTTACGTTATTTATTTACGTGATTGTTTTAATGTGTTATCTTAAAGTTGCTTTTGATACTATTGTAGTGAGCTGTGGAAATCTCCCTTCTTTAACACTATCACAGATATACTGAAAACCTCCCTTCTTTCTGCATCTGTTATAGGCCATGTTTCTGGGAGGAAGAACATTGGGATTATGTCAGGTATGTCTTTCTCCAAATCTATTTCCTCGTTATACTGAATTTTGAAGCTATTGCCTTAGGTATGTTGCATTATAGTCCTTCTAGGTAACACTAGGTGACTAGTCCAATAGTAGTAGAATAATTTGGAAGATGAAATTGCATACATTTATAGCATACTCATGTTGATAGTCATGCTGATATTCTGCTTATACAAAATACAAAATGTTGATATTCTGCTTATACATGGAGCTTTACATGTTTGAGTTACTATATTTGGACAAGATGTCTTCCTTATTGTTCTTGCATAATTGATTTATTTGACGTTGTTGTTCCAACCAAATTGGACAAGTTGGCAAAAACTTCCTTCATATCTGGGCGTTCATTTGGATCCTCATTCTAGCATTTTACTGCGAAGTCTGTGATGTTATTAGCAAGCTCGTCATTTATCTTGTAGAATTGATTTATCCACTATTGATCTTGTTTTCTCCTTGGAGCTGCTTCATAATCCAGTGGTGGATTGTCATTTTCTTCTCTATTTCTTCAAAATTTAGTCACCTAGTCTTAGTGAGTAAGATATGTAATTGTCATATCAATTTTTTGCCATCTAACCATATGCCGCTATATGTGTACAGTGGTATACTCATTCAAATGGTGAGATCCTTCAAGGAAGGAATGACACACTGATCCAAAAAGCTGCAACATTTTGCATCAGGGAAAAAACAGTGGCTTAATTGCCTTATTTTCTCCATTGTTGAACATATTTTTTCTATTTTGATAATTCATAGTTTCTTTTACCTCTACGAGATAAGAAAGTGAATGGATTAAGATTGTTTGTTCTTATTTTAAGTGAATGACATTGTTTTGAGTTTGGTAATTCTTCTTTATTACCTTTGAACTTATTTTTCTTGTAAATTTTTATTTTTGGTGTTATAAAAGAGGGTTAAATATGTGAATTTAGGTGAATTTATGATCAGTTTTTAAGGCGTTACAATAATTGAGTGACAATTATTATCTTTCCCGGCAATAGAAAAAGCCATAAATATGCTTGTTTCTAAGGTGGCTTTAATGGCAATAGTAAAGGCCGTTAAATAAATGCCGCTAAAAGTAATTACTTTTAGCGGCAATAATAAGGGTCTTTACCGGCACTTGACATAAATGCCACTAAAGGCTTTAGCGACATTGGATCCAATGACATTTAATCAAATGCCGGTAAATGTATTTGTGGCATTAAATATTGCCGTTAAAAGGAAAATCAATTGCCGCTAAAGGTCTCTTTTGGTGTAGTGTCTCCATTACTCATTCTCTCCATTTCCCCTAAGTACCTACTTAGATAACAGATGCATGTCATCATTAAGAATCAAAGCTTGAGATTTAATTACCTAAATTAATATTTAATTATGATTATAATAACAAATAATTTCCTTATTTAATTAGTTTTTTAAAAAAAATTATCAAACCAACTATTCTAGCTAAAAATTATCTCAAAAATTTATTTCAAAAATTCACTATTTTCCATTTGATTAACGAGCTCAACTTTTTTTGGAAAAATAATAATTTCTTTTTGTCTTTTACTTTGGTCATGTAGTAATGCTCAGTGGCGGATTCAGGATTTTGATCTCGTGGATGCTCTACCATAATAATAGCATATCCATATATAATCTCATAAAAAAGGTCGAAGGTAAAATATATGCGTATTTGTTAAAAGTGTTGCATCACCCTTAACATAAAGTTATAGCAATCACAAATCATAAGTGCAAAACTATTTTAAACTTTACGCTCAGGAGATTTTACAAGTTATAATTAATATATTTAAAAAAAAAAACTATTAAAATTCACAATCTTACTCGGCATGAACCAATAATAGTAACATTACTACATTATTGTAAGGTGACATTCTTTTTTGAAACGGACTAAAATAAAAAAAGTGTCACAATGGAATGAAGGGAGTATTTTTTTTTTGTCATGACTCATGATAGTTTAATATCGGAGAGAAACAACATTAACCAGAGCACACAACTCCTTTTGGTGTCTCTGGGTGCTTACAATTTGTTTTTATCTATTTCTCTCAATAATCTATATGTATATATAGAGCTCGAGTCGAAAGTAATGGGTGCTTGAGCACCCACGGGTGATATAGGCAGTGGCGAATTTATGTGTAAAATTTGGGTCATCCGAACCCGTGGTCCTCCGACTAAACTCGATATATTACGTGTATAATTATTAAAGAACATATTAAATAAACACTTGTTGAACCCATTCTTAAAATTATTGGATGGTTCACTGGTTTGACAGCCAAATTTTAACACCAAGGTCCTGAGTTCAATCCCAGCTAGCCACAATTCACTTCAAATTTTTTTAGTAATAATAACACTCGTTTTAAAAAAAAAAACGAAATTCTAAAGCAATGATGCACCCGCTTTCTTGAAATCCTAGATTCGCCTCTGGTTATAGGTGAGTCCGCCCCTGATAACGTTTAGGCCTTACTGGAAATCGTTATACAAACTAATCAACATATGATATTAAAAAATTTAAAAAGAATATTTGCAAATTTTAAGTTAAAAAAAAACTGCATGATGTTAATTTATTTATTTTTTATTGTAACTCAGAGTTCCAAAGAATTTTAGAAACAGGATTTTTGTGACAAAAAAAAAAACAAAAAAGAGCTCGTAGTAAATAGGAATAGTGAAAAAAATAGATATATTTATTAATGAGAATTTTTAGCTAGAATTATGAAATTGACATTGTTTAAAAAATAAATAAATAATTATTTGTAATTCTAATCATAGTTAGACCTTAATTTAGGTAATTAAATCTCAACCTTTGGTTCTTAATTATGACATGTGGCTATCATCCAAGTAGGTTCTTGGGGAAATGGAGAAAATGAGTAATGTAGAGGGGTCTCATCCGTTATAAAGAAGATTTGACTAAATTACTTTTCTTTTTGACAAAAAAAAAAAACAAGTTCGCATTTAAAATCAATAAACTTAGCTTACTAGAAAAGCACACATAGTCAAGTCAGGGATGTTATAGTGGAGTAACTTCCACTATATCCACTAGCGGTGTGTTTGCAAATTTCACTCTACAGTCATTTCTCGATAATAGAGGTCAATGTGGAATGCACATATTGAAGAAAGAAAATATATGTTTAAACTAATGAATGATTAGCATATTTAAGTTACACTACAAGTATATGGTTGTAGGAGAGCAAAACACTACTTTAGGATAAATGAGCATATATGAAGAAAAAAATTATTTACTAAATCTAAAAATTGTTAGTGAAGAAAATTTATAAATATAAAACCAAGTGTGATCAAACAATTTAAGATAAAATGAGCACATATGAAAAAAAAAATACTAAATCTTCAAAAACTTAATGAAGAAAAATTGAATTTGAATGTAAATTCTAAAAATAAGTGTGATCAAGTAATTTAGGACAAAATAAGTATATATATGAATAACTTTATTATTATTAATCTTTGACTATAATATTGAATAATCAAAGTGTAAGTTTTTATATGTGTCATGTATTTGTTGATTTGGTGTGAGTATCGGACACACATACATTTTTTAATCAAAATATTGCTACATTATTAGAACCTTAAGCCTTTTATGTTTAAATTTCATTTATTTATTTATGAGATTCTCTAATAATTAATAAACTATTAATAACATCATTTCAAAATCAAATTTAGGTGTCTCCATTGTGGAAATCTCAAACTTTTTTTTTTTTGCAAATTTATACCACTGAACATTGTCTTGTGGCGTTTTATTAAAAATAAAAATAGAAATAGAAATCTCAAACTATATTTGACCATGTAAATGTTTTCATACTGTTAATAAATAAAATTTAAATTCTCAAATCAGTGTGATCAAGCAATTTATGATAATTTTGACATATATGAAAAGGAAATTATTTACTAAATCTTAAAACTATTAATGGAGAAAAAACTTAAATTCCCAAAATAAGAATGGTCAAGTAATTTAGGATAAAACAAGCATAAACATGGATAATTTCCTATTAACTAATCTTTGACTAGAAAGTTTAAAAAAATAAATATTTTTACCCTTTTTTCATTTTAGGGACTCCAATAAACTATTAGGGGTCGTTTGGTGTGAAGGATAACACCAAATAGTCATGGAATTAAATTATAGTGTCACTTATTTTGTTGTTTGGTTGGCAAGTCGGGGACAACTTATCTTGGGTTTAATAAGACTCACATGACATAACATAGTTAATCCAACTCAACATATTATATCATATTTCGTAAATCAAATTGTATAAGATCACTCGTCACACTAGTATATATATACCTCTGGGCTTTTTCTTTCTCTCTAGCAAATAAACCATTAAACTTGAAACACTCTCTTACTAATCTTCTCTGGAATTCATCTCAGAAAATTCACTGGCGAGCTGCAATTGAGGTGAGCTGCTTGAAAAAACAAAACTCAATCATTTCGATTTGTTCATCGATTTCATTAGAATTCATCATGTAGAAATCACTTGTGAATTGTGATCATCTTCCATTTTATTAAGTTGTAACCTAATTTTTATTGTTAAATCATATGAACTTTCTCATTTAAATGTTTAAAAATGAGAAAAAGGAAAACATTTTTTTATTAGTCATTTTAAACAAATGATTTTAGTGATGATTGTGATTGTTTTTTTTTTGTTGTTGTTGTTGTTAATGTTAGCAATGATTTAGAAATTAGTAAATCTACCTGAATGGGATTTATTTATTTTTTACCTTCAATATTTTTGGTGTTCTGTTTGGCGGTATTTTCCATAATTGACTTTTTAGGTGGAGAGAGAGATTCTCTCTTTTTAATTTTATTTTATTTGTTCAGATTTTCATAATATGTTCTAATTATTTTATGTACATTTTTTGCTTTGATTTTTGAAGTGGAAGAATTTAGCATTGGTAGAGCTCGATAGTTATTATTCGTTGGTGGAGGACTGCATCTGAAATAGTTGGAAATGGTAAAGTTTTCTACTTAAATTATTTCAACAATAATATTTTAAAATTTTGTAAGAATGCTCTTGCTTTGATCTATGTTATTTTATCAATCTTGGATGTGCACTTTAATCTTTTTCTTTGTGGTACATATAAGATTAACTTTCCTCTCTCTTTCTTTCTAATGACTAAAGAAAGTAGATCATCACATGAAATTTGGTACGCAAGGACATGTCGATACTGCATAGAAAGGTATCATTTATATGCAATGACATCTCCTCGCATGTCGAATTTCACGTGATGATTTCCTTTCTTCAGACACTAAGAAGAAAGGGAAAAAAATTATTGATGACGAACTTAACTTGAAAGAGTTGGTCAAAACTGTAATTAATGAAGATGATAAGGGGAAATTAATAAAGAATGATAAAAAATTTCATATTAATAGATTCATCAGAAAAAAGTAAATGAAATATCCTAATGGAATAATCTTTTTTTATTTTATTTTTTATTGTTTTAGCTTAACTCTGTCGCTTATACATATGCGAAGAATCTTAATCTCATAAGATAGTCATTTATATCTTTCTAAGTAGGTATAGAGTTTTTATGATAAATGCTACTAGCTTGTACATGAAGTATTATTTCTCAAGATAGCTCATAAATACGACATAGTTAAAAGTGGCATGAGAATTGAGGGGGTGGGGAATGACATATGTTAAGGTAGTGATTGATGGATAAATTTGATTTTTACTTTTATAGTTCTTCTGATATTAGCGTCTCTAAGAATCAGAGTCATCTGTGAGGGAAAAATAAAGTTCTCAAAAAGCTTTGCTTATACGTATCTTAATTGCTCTATGTTATTGTATGTGGAGGAAGTATATAGTAGACATTCTCTCTCGACTATGTTTGGTGAAGAATTTTATTT